TCAAAGAAGTTTCTTGTATATTATTTAAAATAAATAAACGTTTCTTCTACATTTGTTGATTTTATTTAAAATTCAAAATACCAAGATGTAGGCTACGAGTTTAACATTTTGTAAAAATGTGTTGCCTAACCTAGTAGTAATTGCATCAAAATGGCCACGCCCTATGTTGGGCGTGTCGGACGTCACTCTTGCACCGTATAGTAATCAAACATTGCGTTCGGTCTGCCAAGTTCCTTTAACTCCTTTAACACTTTTTACTCCAAACGACCCTTTTAGCGTTCGGTTTAGTCCGATTAGTGACAGTTTAACACGCTTAAATTTCATTTAAAAGCACCCTAAAATAACTCCGCTTTTGTCCCGCTCCAGCCCCTGACTATCCGAACTCGCCTAAAGTATGTGGAAAAAGTAGAGTCGGACATTATCGTGATTATTTCAATCACTCTGAAAGCAATAACTAATATTTTTTGAAATACAATCAATCGTTAGAACATTAAATAATCTCAGCTTAGCGATACTTTTAAATATCTGTAATTAAATAGCAGTTCATTGAAATATCGTCCAACTCTAAATAAAGGCATTCATTATAGTTTACTGATCTGTACATCTGTTCAATTTGTGAATTGGGCTGAGTGTCTCTAAGTAGGTTGGATATCATTCAGTTTGTATTTTGAAATGCAAGATCATTAATTTGAAAATTTAAAATTCAAATTATAAAAAATTAGATTTCCTCGGTTTAATTTTGGATATATATTCTATTTTTTAATTAATAGCGGAATTCCACATTCAGCTTTTTCATAAATTTAATTGTTTGAACTGACCGTGAATTATAATGGAAAATATGAGATTTTTAATCATCTGTAGCTCTCGAACTAATTATTTTAGACTCTGTGCAGATTTTTGAAATCAATTCGTTAGGGCAATAGTACACAAAACAATTAACAACTTATAGATGACATAAAATTATTTATACAGGGAATGTCAATGAAAATTATCCACCCTAAATAACTTAATTAAAAAATACAAAAATAAGTCAAAATGCATATAAATTTTTGCTTTCCTCCCCATTACCACCCCATATTATTGTCAATAGAACACCCAGCATATTATTGCATTTTCTAATATTCTCCACTAATATTCGATTCCATAAATGTATACCTCAGTACAGCTGCTAACTATGGTTTTGTATTCGCCGAAAGGTATACGCAATATTTTAACTGGTTGTGTTTTTATAATCGATTTCGAACTTCTTTTGGTCTTTTACCACTCAAAAATATGGCTAGTATTTTTTTTTTTTTTGTAAATTTGTGCCGTATATTATTTAGATAACTCGTATGTTCCATGTAAAATATTGATATTCTGAGCTAAAGCTAATGTAAACATTAAAGTTATAGATCAATTTTTGGAAGTTATATCCGTTGTGATCCTCATATTGTTTTAGAAAAAACATGGGCCCAAGTACAGCACATTTATAAAGTGTGTTAAATATTATTCGAGAAAGTCTCGAACACATTGAATTTATTATTTACAATAAATATATTTTTTTGTATCATACTGTATGTTTCTACGCATAGTATAGACACAAGAATAAATAATAACCAGAAGGATATATCTCATTTAATTCCTTTATAGTTGATGCCGACGAGCTATGACCTCGTCTTTGTATAATAAATCTGTTCTATAACACGCTAAGAGCCAAGATTTCGCTCTGAAAAAAGATTTACACTTATTTTTCATTTTATTTTACCTGATAGCTTCGGACTTCCATTGTCTGGGATAGAGTATAAATTTTGGGATAACTCATAAAGCTTGGGAGGTAAGCACTTAAAAAATAAAATATTGATGCAAATATGCACAAAAAACAGTCAAAATATGCACTAAAAACATATATTTTTAAATTTAAATGTGAATTTAATAAGTAAAGTTAGACATTAAATTAACTAAAATTAACTACACTTTGAGACCGAAACTGGACATTTGGGCGCGATAATTATAATTTTTCAATTATTCTAATTGGTATATTCATTAAAAACTTTGGTCTTAAGAGTTTTACTACAATAAAGTTTAATAAAAAAATAGATTATTATTTTTATTGATTTAATAAAATAAACATTAAGGTATGTATGAATAATAAGGGTATAATTAGAGTAATCCAGAAAGATATTAGAGATTAAATATAGAAATGCCGAAAATTACCTAAAGTGTATCATAACATTAAGCAATTATTACATTAAGTTATTTATAAATAATAAAGGTATAATTAGAGTAATTCCAGAAAGATATTGGAGATTAAATATATAAATGCCGAAAATTACCTAAAGTATATCATAACAAGTAATTATTAGAGATAATTCAGTTTTGATAAGTCATTACTACCTGGCATTGTTTCAAAATCTGAAAATTACCTAAAATGTATCATAACAAGAAAATATTAGAGATAATTTAGTTTTGTAGTTCAAAACAGAAACATTTTAATTCTTTAAAAAAGGTATTTTTGTATATTACTCGCGCCCAAATCATTTATAAATAAATAAATACTGTTAAATCGACCACTTTTAATTGCGCTAATCAGCATGTAAACATTAATTTCTACTCATGTACTATCATTTGTTAATTAAATGTTAATGTTCAGTTTCATAATGATATTCATTATAGCACTGGTTTTGCATTATGAAACTGAAAAATTGATCAGTTGAAACCTATATTTTGTAATAATCATGTAAGCATCCAGTTATTTTCCCCAAATAGCTTTTGACAGTTTCTGAAAGATTTATGTTCTGTGTCAGTTTAGATCTTCGATTTTGAAATATCTAGGTATTTTCAATTTGAAAAAGATGTCCATGTTCCATGTACACTACTCGAAATTGAAAAAATTAAATGTATCGTCAACATTTAGACTGGAAGCTAACAAAGGAAGTATCATCCTTTTCTAAAAATGTGTTGCTTTGAACAACTCTCAACCAAATTGAAATACTCGTTACTCCAGTTTAAAAACAACTGAATATTAAACATAAAACTGATATATGAGAGAATACCCAAAATTGCTATCATATAAAAAGAGAAAGTCCAAAGGCTATAGCGGAAAAAAATCCGAAACACTTTTGGGAAATAAAAAAAAAGCTTTATTATTTAGTTGTCTTAACAAGTAGTCATAACAAATCAGATTATCTAAGGTTTTGAGGGATTAAAGCATTATAATTTTTTAAAATCTATTTTCGATTGAAGAACTGGTTCTTGGTCCTAGAAAAAATAGGGTATGCATCTCTTATGTAATGGCTATTAATACATGATCGTTGCATAATATACTATTATTAAGATATACCCTAAGTACTGTGGGGCAACCCACCCTCCCTCAGATTAAAGATACAGAAAATATCCCGAAGTAACAGCTAATTTAAAACACCCCGTATTTGACTTATATATTATACTTTATTTATAAAACCTTTCAACATCTTGAGGAAATCTGTAAAATGAATGTGCACCGATAAAAGATTTATTTTTGCAGTCTTTATAATTACAAACAAATCCAGATTTTTTTGTCTTCTTCCATAACTCACACTGTCATTAAAGCACAACAAAATCAGAAAATAGTCAACGATAAAAATATTTAAGCGAAATAACAGAAACAACAGAATAATAATAATTATAAATTCACGGGTTCGATACCACCGCCCGTGCCGGTCGCTACTGCACTAAAAGTTTCGGTGTAGAATATCGGTGTAGGTGTGCTTGCAGGTCACGAGCCCTCGAAGATCACGTGATCGGAGATATCCTTCTGGTTATTATTTATTCTTGTAGTATAGACCCGCAGTAGAACAGCTCTGGTTTTCCCTAATCTTTCAAAATACCAAAATAAGCCCCAATCAAGGGTAATAAAAATTCTATGAGAACGGATAATAGTCCGATATGACTTATTAAACTTAGGTAGTTGGTACTAATCCAAAACAATTTTAAAAGACGATTTTTCCCGATCAATATGCCTGGTACTTCTGGGGGTTTAAAGAGGGAGACAGAGTTGATAAAAAGGGTATTGCTGACAATAATAAGAGGCTTCAACGATATTTCGTGTTTAAATAAATCGTTTTGTAAGCGGTTAAAAATGACATGGTCCTTCGAGTAAAAATAAGTTTTAGTAGTTTTTCTTCTTCGGCAAGATCTATGGGGTAACGAGACGTGTAGTTCTCTTACAAATATGTTAATTGTTATGACATGTTGCTATTAGAATAAACCGCCCAAGAACTACTTTCTAGAGGAAGGGCACTTTGTTGTCAAGCAGACAATTATGCCATTTAGGTCAGTTGGTACTTAGTTCGTACAGATCGAGCACTGGAGCAGACAATTAACAGATCTAGGAAAAGTTCATCAGGAATAATTAGATATTCTTGTAAAGAGGATTTTGTAGCTGCTTGGGATCTTGTTTACCGTTAAATTTTAGCGATAATAATTAACCTTTACAGGCTTAGTATGCATAATTGCATTTCTCATCATTTAAACCGATGATATAGAGAGGTATTTGTAGATTTGAGAACGAGAACGCTATCTGGTTAGAACTAGCACATCAAATTTCTATCTAGAAATCTCGACAATCACTGTCGTGGTTGGTCTAGTGCAAAGGGTACTTGTCTAACAAACAAGGATGCTTGAGTTCGATCCCCGGCTGCGACAAGCTTTTTTCAAATCTCCAAGTATTTGTTTTCACCTTTCGGATTCAGGGATTGTCTTAATAATTCATAGGGTGACTTTTGAGATTTGCTTTCGAATTTTCACATTATTCAGCCACTTATTTCAGATATTTTCCTGACTTTTCGGATTTCGATTTTCGATTTCACGATAAATAAATTTACAATTTTCGATTAAAATTAAGTTATCTCGAGATTACTAAACGCAATTATTAATCGGGAAGAATATAATTTAGCACTGTGTTCCTCCGGGATTTTCAAATGGTGTAAGGGGTATAAGAAATACATTTTCCGAAAGTAATGTTTAGCGTAGTAGCCACTGACCTTTATTACTGTGTCCGTATCCCAAGGTAAAATAGAAACGAGGTCTATAACCTCACAATTAACTTGGAATTTTTCTTTTGCCATTTGTGCCACTTCTTTAAGCACATGCACCTGGGTGCCCCATCCTATCAGGGTAATGTCATTCCCTAAAAAATAAGTTTATTAAATTTAACATCTAACAATAAAATTTCATGATAGATAATAACAGGTTTAAACAAAAATTTTAGTAAAACTAAAAATTATTGTACATCAATCGCTTTTTGGGAAGAACAATGACGCAAGTGAAAATTTTGACTTTTTAAGTTAATTATGGTATAATTTCAAAGAAAATTGCATTTTTTCCTTGGAAGAATAAAAACTATAATTATTATTATTTCCAACCTGTTCATTTAAGTCTTAGTTGTAGTTTTACATTTTATTTTTTTTATTTGCAATTTCTGCGGAATTATTAATTTTCGCTTGTGTCATCAGTCAATAGTTCAAATTCAAAAATTATCACACAATGTTAATAAAACTTGATTTGATTTTCTTTACACAAAGAGATTCATAACAACAAAATAAATTTGTTTTTCTACGAGTACTATGATAAATCTTCGTTATTGGAACCATAAATACATAGATTTTATACAAAGACGTTGTAAATCAATAAATGCAAAATGAAATATTTTTTATTTGTCCACTCCAAAAGGTAAAACAGATGTGGACGATTGGACGTCACAAGAAGTAGTCGTAGAAAAATTATAATATGCAACTCGCACGAAATAGCTATCTTGCACTTGCCTTAATCTCGTTTTGCAAATAAGCTTCATTTCGTGATCGTTACGTTATCTACACTATTTTCTGTACCTTCGATTAAAACATCAGCTTTTCCAATAGGCAATTGATAGTCACCTACCGGTACTTCTTCTACAGCCGCCCTATATAAAACTTTCGGTTCGAAGACTAGACACGGATCAGGATCTCTGATACAACTGAGCAGAAGTCCTTTAGCTTTAATGGGTCCTCTAGGAACGACTACCTAAAAATTAAATAGGTATATACATATAACTAAAATATTACAAGCAAAATAATGTGGATAATAATAATTTACATTTATAGCTAAACAAATTTTATACGCACTTTTAAACCAGGTGTATGGGCGAAATATGCTTCAGGACTTTGAGAATGGTACAAAGCCCCATGACCTACAGCTCCACAGGGTGCTCTTATGGTCAGTTTCCCACAATCAAACATACCACCCGATCTGTATCTGTATTTAGCTGCTTCATTTACTATCTACAAGAAGAAAAATTGAAAATTTATCATTTTTATGTAAATAATACAAAAGCATATTTATTTTTCTTTAGTGTTGGCAGTATTTTTATTTAATATTATATTTGTTTAATGTAAGAAAATATGATGTTTTGGATACCGAATTCTTTACTAATCCTTGAGGAAACTAGGTTAGTTTCTAATAAAAATTTTAAACTGCAGTTAGTACCTCAATTAGATTATATCTAATGCTTTTCTATTTTTATGTACTACTTTTCATTTGTTTCTCGTGTTTTGATATCCGGCAAGCGATGCTACAGCTAATTCAATACACTAATCTTGACATTAAATTGAAAATTGCGCATTTAGTAGAGCAGTCATTAGAGTCAAAATAACGCGTTTAAGCTATATCCTAAATTTCGTTATGAAACACAAATATCCGGACACGTGGCCAAAATCTCTATACCGGAAGTAGCAAAAGTAACCTTTCTAAATATACTGAATACACTCTAGCAAAATATCAACACTTCTTTTGATGTCACGCTCTTGACCATAGATAAAATAACAACAAAATAAGTTCCGACTAGAGCTTGTATTTATAAACCGATCTCAGCTGAGTCGCACTTAGCTCTTAGCCGAGTCGTCCTTGAACGAAAATCGAAGTTCGATTATAGCTTCCCAGATAGCACACGACGTCTGAAAGACGTCTTATAAGATGTTTGGCAAATGCCATAATTCAGACGTATTAATGTAAGAATGTTTAGAAGAAAACTGTCAAACATTTTTATAAATAAAGAATACCTATATGGATAATAAATATATGATTTACAATAACTATTGAAAAAGTCAGTTTAACAAATTTTGTTGTTTTTGCCAATTATGACTGGACGTTGGATAGCCTAATCTACCTCCAAAATATGGTTTCTAATTTAAATAAATAATGCAGTCCAACATCTAACAGTCAACAGTTCTTGTCTTCCTTTATTTGCCTCATTGATATGGTACCCAACCAGTTCTGGTTTTACCGGGATTAACCAGGAATCAGAAAGTTTTGCCTTTAAATTTATCTCACTTTTTTTTTATTACACTACCCAACAGATAAATCCAATTACAGGGTAGGAAAACTTACAGATTATAAAAATACAAATATAAACACATGGTAACTATACAAAAAAAAATAAAAATAATAAAACATATTCAAATAAGTACACAATATATATTAAGTAGTCGTTATACGTTTTATTGAAACAATGCTGCAGGAAAAAATATCAAGTGATGAACCAATTTTATTATAGCAGTTGCATATTCTATACAAAGGTGAGTGATTTTGTATGTTAGTCCTCGCAGTTGATAAATAGAAAGAGGAAGCACCTCGGAGCAGTCAATAGATGCACTTATGACTTTGTGAGTAAACAGTATTCCTTCAATGTCACGCCTATCTTCCAGTGGTTTTACACAAAATGTGCTAAGGAGATTTATGTAGGGGTATCCGATAACTGGATAGAGACCATCTTCTTTAAAATTCAAATATTTCAAGAACCTACGCTGTACTCGATCTAATGTAGTAATGTAAATATCATGTGAGGGACACCATATGACAGAGGCATATTCTAGTTTAGAGAGCACATAAGAATAATATAATAGTAACAGCATATCAATATCTTTAAAGGTCTTGGTATTTCTGATGACAAATCCCAACATTTTAAATGCTTTATTGCAAATTCTACTAACATGTAAACTAAAAGAAAGTTTACTATCAAATGTTACACCAAGGTTCTTGAACTCAGAGGCTCTGGGAACAAATATATCAGAAATTGCGTAATCATGATAAATAACATTGTGTTTAGGGGAAAATGAAACGATGCAGCATTTATTAGCATTTAATTGTAGATTGTTCTCAACACACCAGGTATGCACTCGATCAAGTGCTACCTGCAACGTGTTGCAGTCATCTGGTGATTTGATAACACTATACAATTTCATATCATCGGCATACAAAAGGCAATTTACATCCAAATCATTTACAATGTTATTTATAAATAGGTTAAAGAGTAGTGGACCCAACACAGAACCTTGGGGTACACCTGATGTAGCCACGTAGCTTCTTGAAGTATGACTGTGGCATTCAACATACTGAGATCAGTTTAGTAGATAGGTCTTAGATAGGTCCTAAAAAAGTTATCAAATATTGTGAAAATCCAAATGAATCTAACTTATGTACCAATAGATTGTGATCAATACGATCGAAAGCTTTTGTGAAATCGGTGTATATTACATCGACCTGTGTGTTATTGTCGAAACCATGAGAAATTTTTTGAGTAATACAAAATAAATTTGTTGTGGTTGTCACATGTTCGAAGATAGGAGAGTATAAAGATATTTCAAATGCTTTAGATATGTTATTAATGATAGTTATTGTCCTATAATTTTCTATTAGTTATTTATCACCTTTTCTAGATATTGGTATAACTTTAGCATTTCGTAAGCATTCAGGGAAGTAATTATTTTTAAGACACAAGTTGAATAATATTGCAAGTGGAGCTGCTAAGGCAGATGCACAATCGTGAAGAAGGAAAGCTGGAATGAGATCAAGTCCCATTATATGCTTTGGTTTAATTTTTATGTTTTTCACATGAGCCACAGAAAAGAAGTTAATATTTAATTAATCTACAAAATTACTACCTGACTCTTGTCAGGGTTAATCGTCACCTTCCACTTGATGCTCCAGTCCTCAATTTCTGCGGCTGCTTCTTGCAGGTATCGGCATATCATACCTGTGTTGGTACTTCTGGCAGCGATCGCTGTGTCGTCGGCGTACATTAATGTCGTGCTGTTGTTTGTCTGTGGTATGTCTGCTGTGTAAATTGTATACAGAAGCGGAGACAGAACTGCCCCCTGTGGTACTCCACCTTCTGGAGTTGCGTATCTAGACAGGGCGGAACCTATCTTGACACGAAACTGCCTTCCACCTAAGTACGACTTGAGAAGTTTTGTCATTGCTCCTGTGTACCCGTAGTCTTTGAGTTTGTAAATTAGTCCTGCGTGCCAGACTCTGTCGAAAGCCTTGCTGACGTCTAAAAAGACCACTCCAGTTGACCTGTTATAGAGAAAGTAAAAGTTGAAAAGTCTTTTGGTAGGTAGAGAGGGGGTAAACGTCAAACCACGTCGGGCGGCTCCGAGAATTTCACAGTAATGTTTACCTGCCAGTGTCGTTTCATAGAATAAGTAATTTTAAATTGTTATCGGCGGAACCGGACAATCGCATGTATTTATGGATTATAAATAATTATTGAACATGTATTATAATATTCAAATTATAATTTTACAAAATTTCAACAGCTATTCACAATTTATTAAACTATTTACTAGAAATTGTTATTAACATCTATAAAATAATTTTGTACGCCAATGTATCGCGTCCACTTCGGTGAGATCCGCTGACAACCTGTCAATTTATGTGTATAAAGTGGGAGAACTGGCAAAAGCATTTCCAACTTTTACTTCTGTTCTAGTATTGAATCCCTGCGTGATTCCCTCTAGTAACCTTAACAACTGTAATTCCATGGAGTGTCTTTCTCTGAAGCCGAATTGTTCGTCAGGAATGACATTTAACATTTCGGTTTCTTCTTTGAGTCTTCTTAAGATTACTCGTTCTGCTATTTTGCTCATTGCAGGTAATAAGCTAATAGGTATGTAATTCTGTCTAACGCACGCTTAAGTATTTTTTTTACGCCGTCAGTAAACGTTAAAAATCGTACTATCAACATTCCTTGTAAATGACATTTAAAAATAACATGCACGTAATGAGATCTCATAACATAAACGTGCGTTTTGATAAGAAAACTTAAATTTCTTGGTTTAATCAAATTGCATTTAAATTTTTGTCCACGTACGACTTTATTTGGGCTATTTACAAAAATTTACTCATTTAAAAAACATAAAAACTGTTAGCATTAGCGAGATACATTTTGGATTAAAAGAGTGATATCCCTAAATGTCGGCAACATATTACACATTTTTTCATAAAATGTGTCGCGTTTTCTTAGCATGCTATGGAAATAAACGTCATGCCATTTATATTGTCAATTTTTGTAACAAAATATGATTGTATCCGAACCTTTTCTCAGCTTTACTACGAATATGTTTGTTAGTAGTGAAAGTAATGAAATTATGCGCACTCCACCGGAGATTTTAGAAAAAGCTCAAGCTGCCACAGATAATGTGTTACCGCTAAAATCCAAAGAAAGGTACGAAATTACCTATCGAAGATTTATGGATTGACGACACAAGCATGACGTTAAATTCTTTTTTTTTTAATGTTTTAAGTAGGCGTAGAAAAAGTATAGTACGTTACACGAGTTGTAAGCACTCGTGAAATTTACGCACTCGCCGCTGCGCGGCTTCGTGAGAAAACTTTTTCACTTCGTGCGTAAACTTTTTCACTTCGTGAGTAAACTTTTTTACTTCGTGCTTAATGGGTTACTTACAACTCTTGTTACGTAGTATACCATTTTTGTACAAGAACTTGAACTTTTAATGTCTGATGTTTGGTTTGAATTATTGTTTGACTCGTAAAAAAAATTGTCTCTGAATCTCCGATGCTCGAGTTGGGAACCCTACTCATTGATATAAATATTTCGATAACGTTTATGTATAGGCAGCTAATGTTACATTCTACTGTATAGTGTATCGTCTAACTTCTGAGTCGAATGCAGAGAGGAAAGAAACAATAAATATTGCTATCTTGTTGCAGAAAACAGGACTGCATATAGCAAAACTGTTGAAGAAACTCGTGTTCGAGAGATAATAAAAAGAGAATCTCAATTATCGAATATAATTATTGTATTAACATTTTATTAAAATATTGATGCAATACCTGGTCAAATGCTGGGAAAATATAATCAGCAAACTGTATTTCGGCGATAGCTGTGGATCCCATTGCTGCAGCTCCTATTGCAAATCCAGCTATCCCTTGTTCGCACAAAGGAGTATTGAATACCCGTTCTTTGCCATATTTTTCCTTAAGTCCTATGGTACATCTGAAAACTCCTCCAAAACCTATATCTTCTCCAAATATTAACGCAGAATCGTCAGATTTTAAGGCTATGTCTAGTGCGTTGTTTATGGATTGGAACATGTTCATTTTTGTAGTTTCTCCTAAAAAAAAAAAGAAAATGGCAATGTAGAAAGTTATTTAACATACAATATAGAAACTATTTCATCGGCGTATACAGGGAGGCAGGGGAGAACAGCGCTCTTCCTGGATTTTCCAATATACAGGGTGTCCCGAAATTGGACGGTCATATTATAACATCGTAATCTACAACCTAAAATAGGAGTAAAAGTTCTTATAAACATAAGTTCAAAAACGTTTCTTTTCCGAGATACAGGGTGTTAAAAGTGAAGTCCTGATGACACACTTTTGTAAATATTTTCTAAACGTTTAAAGATAACTAAGTAAAATTTGGTACAAATGCTTACCTTTTTACGCTCTATTTAATGGTCTAAATCCCAGTTTTTGATCATCCTCATAGGTGGGTAAAATTGCCCTAAGTTTTTTTTGACAGTTTTTAACATTTTTGACTATAAAATTATGAAAACCAATGTTTTCTTTATAATAAAGCTACTTTTGTTGCATCTCGCTAGGACGCACCATTTTCAAGAGAAAAGCATTTGAAAATGTCATGATAAGTTGATGTTATATTATTCGAAAGTGTACCAATAACCTGTAGGCCTGTGGAATTAGAAATTTTATTTTTTTTTTAAATTTGGAAATTCAGTGATTAAAGAAATTTTAGAAAATATTTACAAAAATGTGCCATCAAGATTTCAGTTGCAACATCCTGTATCTCGAAAACGAAACGTTTTCGGACCTATGTTTATATGAACTTTTGCTCCTATTTTAGGATGTAGATTACGCTGTTCAAATATGACCGTCTAATTTCGGTACATCCTGTACATAGTATTACAAAAATCTTATTGGGAAAAACAAAAGAAGCTAGGTAAAATATTTTCGGTTCAATGTAGCAGATAAAATTTGTTAAATAATAATTAACAGTCCCGAAGCTAAAAACTACTATACCGGAGAAAAAGGAACCTCCACATATCAATCTGGCAATGGGCAATCAGTGGCAATGGAGGTGAAACTTGTTTACTTATTGATTTAATTGTCACAACGTTATTCTTAATTTAGTCAAATTCAGTATATACAGAACGTCAATTTAACAATTTTTCACCACTAATATTTTCCTTCCAGTAAATACCTAATATGTAAAATCGGAAAGACGTGTCCATTTTATTTTCAATTAATATTTTTGACTCTCAGACTTTAACCCCACAGGAGGGCTTGATGATATCCTTAGAATCTTAAACGAGAAGGGGGTCAAGTAACACATCATTTGAAAGGTAATTTTATAAAGAATTCAACAATATAACTAGTAATTGCGTTGATTTTGATTTTAGCACCTTCTAGCTGGATAAAAAACTTTTACGCATTCTATAGTGTGACACTTCATTTGAAATTTTAAATTTTTTAAATTATTTTATTTTAATGTATTAAATAATTATGTTTTAGTAAAGAAAAATGAAGTGAGAAAAACGGTTGAGATCCAAAAAATTGAATGTGCATCCATGACTAGTCCACTCATCGATGCACTCATTTTTTTCTTTTCTTTATTTCTCAGCTTTTTCAATTTGGTGATTTCATTGCGGGAATTTGGAATTACAAATTTTCGTATTTCTAAAATTGAATTGTTGTATACGGGTTAGCGAAATAGTCTGGCACCGTGATATTTTCTTTGAAACAAATGAAAGTACAATTATGAAATTATAGGGTGATGAATGGGAATGTATCATATTATTATTGTTTTTTCTGATCCTATAGATATAAGGTAGCGAAAGAGTTTAGTCTCAAGGTATTTTAAAGTTATGAATGGGACTGTATTACATTAGTAATGTGGTACTTTTCTAGTATTCTTGAAAAGAGGAAAAAATAAGTTTTTCTGATATATCACTCGACCTAGGTAGCAATTTAAAATATATATGGGGGCCCTACGCTAAACGCTGACATCACATAAATGCGGCAAAGCAGAATATTGGATCCTATGATTGAACGTTTACGTTATCCATAACGTACATGTTAGGCCAAGGTTTAACAGTAACGAGGCAAGTTCGTATGATGGAAAACTTTTTCCAACACATTACTGTTATTTTCCGCCTTTTATGTTCTAATTTAACAGTTTTCCGTCATACGAAGTTGCCTCGTTTCTGTTAAAAATTGACCTAACATGTACGTTACGGATAACATAAACGTTCAATCATAGGACCCATAGTCTCATCACCCTACAATTTCCTAATTATCATTGAAATAGAATAAAGAGCAGATGCTATAGTATTAGTACCTTTGCATTTTTACGTTATATGTCAAACTGGAGCTAGTGGAGCTAGTCAGGTTTGGTGAGAATAAATGCCATTTTTTTTAAATAGCTTAATTTAAATGAAATAAAATCATTGTCACTCAGTCAAATATAAAATTATTGACTTTAAATTAATCAAAGTACGACTCAAGTCGCCATTTTCATTACACTTTTCCGTCAGTCGAAGTGCGTCCATTTGTAATATCGCAAAATAGTGTTTATGTCGTCTTTACTTTATTCTGTCTCCATGATAATTATACATTCATTTGTTTCAAAAAAAAATACCTTGTTGCCACATTTTTTCGCTACCCATGCATATTTCTATGATTTTACACCGTATTTGTTTATTATTAAACAATCACTATTAGGACTAACTATGTATAGCTTAGCAAATAAAGATATAACATTAGAATGTAGTTCATTTTGTTTAAGGGGTTATACGCAGCTAGAGGTTTTATTTGACAAATACCAAAAATATTAATAAATGCAGTGGTAACTTTTAACTTTATTTCGTTTGACGCTATTATTAAATTTACTCAAAATACTAAAATAGATATTTAACATAATATATACAAAAATTATTAAGTTAAAACTTTCTGTGGTAAATAGACTTGCATGTCTGATGCCATCCCATTACAAAAAAAAAAAAAACAAAAAAAAAAAAAAAAAAAAAAAAAAAAAAAAAAAAAAAAAAAACTTTATTTCGGCATTTTTCATATTTAAAAATATTGATTGATACTGCTCCTGTATACGTTCTCGTCTCCTGGAAATCCTTGGAAAAGGTGTCTGGCGGTGAGCAAGATAACTCTGCTTTGAAATAAAAACACCCCAAGATTCTATTATTGGATAGATAAATCTAGGTACTTATCGAAGGAATATAAAATTTTAATTTTTGACAAAAAGAAAAAATCCCGATATTCGATTAATTTTTTTTTTTTGTTAAATTGTTTAAAAAATAATTATTGCAAATTTTATTCTTTGCATATAAACGTAAGCTGGGCAAGGAGTGGAAACCCATAATAATCCAAATACCCAAGAACGCCTTTCTATGGTCAAACAAAAAAAGTACTTTTTTGTAAAGCGCATCGGTTTAATTCGGACACAATTAGATCGAGAAAATCTTCTCCGAAAAGCGTTAAAAAAATGTCAACTACTATCACTTCTACTAACGGGTGTCCCAAAAGTTTTGGGAAAAAGTTTGTCTGTGCTCTGCGGAGTATTAAATCAAATTTATCTAGTTAGTAATGGTAATAAACGTTGCCCTGTGTTTTGTTTACCTGGTTGACAGCCCAGTTGCTATCTGTCTGTAGGTATAATGGCGTACAAAATTGATATTCGAAAATCTATTTATAACTTTTTGGCAGAATGCCAAAAAAAGATATCGTTAATATTTTCCGGAATCAAAATATATCTAAAACAACCATTTACCGAACAATTCAAGAATGCGAACAAGGAATACCTTGTCTCAACTTGCCGAAAAGAGGCAGACCGGCAACGCTTACCGATGTCAGGGTGAACCGGATGGTCGAACTTGCAAAGGATATCACTGGAGTGTCTACTCGAAAGCTTTCCCGACGATTTCAGGTATCAAAATCGACAGTTTCTAGATATATTGCAAAAAAAGGCTTAAATTATAGAAAACGGACAAAATGTCCAAAATATAACGAGGCCCAACTTCGAAGGATTCCTTATTGTTGCCGCTTGTTACGTCTTCGACATTTTGTGAACAACAGAAAGATTATACTGGATGACGAAAAATATTTTACATTTTCGCATGCCGACCTACCAGAAAACTCAGGTTTTTATACAGATAACATTGAAAATACCCCCGAAAATGTAAAATACAAACCAAAGGCCGAGTTTGCGGAGAAACTGTTAGTCTGGTTGCATTAACGGAAAATGGTTTGTCCAGGCCCTATGTAGGACGTGTTAGAGGCCCTGCAGTGGATCCAAATACTTACATTCAAAATTGTCTTCCGAAATTGGTAAATTTTATTAGAGAACATCATGCCAATGACAATATCATGTTTTGGCCGGACTTGGCGTCGGCTCATTAGGCTAGAGCCACATGCGAATGGTTAGAAGCTCAAAATGTGCCATTTGTGCTTAAGCAGGACAACCCCCCGAACGTTTACCAAGCAAGACCAATAGAGACATTTTGGGCAAGATTGTCAAGCAAAGTTTAAGAAAATGGCTGGGAAGCTCAAAACGAGCAGCAGCTGCGGCGTAGGCTATTCCAAAAAATTAGGGAGTTTGATGTTGAAGAGTGCCAAACCCTAATGAGACGCGTCAGGACAAAACTGCGCCATATCGAAGAAAATGGACCCCTAGCGGTGCTGTAGTAGTTTTTATTTATTGTTAAGGAACCACTTTGTACGTAGTATTATGAGGGATAAATAAATTTTTTAAATATTTTTTTTTCCCAAAACTTTTGGGACACCCGTTATCACTATCAAAGTTGACTGCCTCGAAAAGGTGAGGAAAATATGGTTTTCTGCTCCATTCAAAATCGTTGTTTTTTGTTTGTTTCTTGGATGAACATGGTTTCGGACGAAGAAGATTTGCGAGGGGCTCATTATCATGACGGACCGCCAATTTTTCGAGCATCGAAGAATTGTTGGTAAATGTTAATTGCTGTACTTATGTACTCTACTTGGTGGTGGTAATTAAGAAGGATACCGATGCAAAAAATCGTATAGTTAACAGAACCATGACTTTAGAAGTCAAAGCATTATTTCTAGAAAATAAAATACATCTTATTATAAATGTTGTTAATTATTCTGTTAGCCATTTTCTTAGACAAACGAAATTGTAAAATATTATTATGTCAAGACATTGATCTTGGTTTAAACACAGTACAATTTTTCGGATCGTTTAAATTGAGTTCAGACGTGAACTTCATTTGAAATACACCATCTTTCAATTAAACTCAATTCATTTGCTGAACTCAGTTTAAACTTTCATTGAAAAACTGGTCCTAAATAAACTATCGTTTCTATGCTTTTCTACTTTTCTTCCACTCTGTATAATATTTTTAGATACACTCAATTTCATAATTCATTTTATTATTGAATTCTTATCGTTATCATAATGTTGTTTCTTCACAATTAATGTTAAACACTGCTTTGACGTAAGATTTATTTTTTCAAATTTGTAATTTTCATTTATGCTAGATATTGTGTTTCTAATATTTTTATATTTTTTAATAGATAGGTAAACCTGAAATTTGAGGAGGTCTCAACTATATAAAAAAGTGTATCTCATATATTCATTGTTTTCATATATTATGTACTTTTAACGTGTGAACAAAAATGTATTACGTAATAAGTACCAACAATATAAAATATAATTACCAATTTTTTTTTGTTCCTTGAAATTAAAAATTTTAATTTAATATTAACAAATTTAAACAGAAAATATGAATGAATGATTAAAGAGTATTTCCCTAGTATTACCATACCTTCTCTCCAGTAAAGTGGAACAATTAAATTACTTAGAATATATTTTTCTGTATACCCTTGTCTAATATGTTTTTATATTCTAAAATTTTAGAGATAAAAACATTTATTTTAAGAAAGAAAATAAATTTGAAAGTTGAAAAAGTAATAATAAAAATAAACATGTTCAAAACTGGTTTTAATTTTATTCTATTTTTTTCAAAAAAGGAGGAGGTTCTCAATTCGTCGGAATAATTTTTTTTGTATATTCAGCGATAATTCTTTACTAAGTTGTCCGATTTTTATGATTTTTTTTGTTATGAAAGGGACACTTCAGGGATGGTCCCATATAAATTTGGTCAAAATCTAATAATGGAGTCTGTGAGAAAATCATCAAACTCTTAATTTTTGATGTATTTTCAGCGATAATTCTATACCACTTTGTACGATTTTTATGATTTTTTTTTTTGTTAGAAAGAAGATACCTCAGGAGTAGTTCTGTATACAATTGGTAAAGATCTATGAGAAAATAAAAAAATCTCAATTTTTAAGGACATCTGCCCGATTATTAAGTCGGTTTTTCAATTAAAAAATTATTGAATTAATTTAACTAATTTTTTAAATACCCAGTGACCTACCTTTTATTTGGAGGCATATACCGGGTGTTCAAATTAAAGTGGTACAGTAAATACCGCCTTTTATAAAACAAACGAAAGTTTTATAGTTTTGTGGGGAAAATTTTTTGGCTAAAATCGTTTTTTCTAGCTAACCATAATATGTTACTCAAAAAGTGAAAGTCCAATAAAAAAAATATTTCCCTCAAAAGTTTCTTATTTTTTTATGTACTTTAAGAATATGTAAAAAAAAGTGGGGTTCCAATTTAAAAAAACAAATTTCGCCTCGATATGGCCATATTATGGTCAGCTATAAAAAAATTAATTTAGCCAAAATGTTTCCCCCAAAAAAACTGTAAAACTTTTGTCTGAAACTTTTTTTTCTAAAATGCATATTTTCGGCGGTATTTAACTGTAACACTTTCTCATTACAGATAGGCAATCAAATTTCCTATTTTCTATTATTCAAAAGTATATTTTAAAATACATTATTTACATATGAATTAAATACCTAGATAATTTTAATTTGAAGACATAGATATACTACAACTAAGGGCTATTTTTATGAATTAAATATAAATCTGTAGCGGCAAGTATTTTTTATTATTATTAAGGTTAATTTAGTTGTGTCAGATCTTCTTTTCTTCTAATAATTAATGCATATATTGGAAAGCGACTTTAAAATACAAATAATAATCAAAAACTTACCTTTCACAGGTGAACTCGAATCAGCTGTGTAAACAAAATGATTCCTTTTACTAACAATTCCATTTAAAACCTTAATTTCTTTAGTCACAGTTCCCAAACATTTCAAGCACACTTTATTTAAAGACATTGTTCACTCTAAACTAACGTAAAAGTTTTGAAACTACCCAAATATCTTTTATTTTTGAATAAAAATCGACAAAAACGCACGAACTTTCGATTCAAATTATTGAATATAGCGGCTTGCTATCAGTTATTGACACTGATAATGATAACAACAAATTCATTTTGTAAGGCGTTTAAATCGGCCTTGGAAATAATAAGCTCATTATCATAAATCTAATTAAAATTTATAATTACTATGGTTAGTTATTTCGAAGTTTATCTTGATATTGAGAAGCAACAGGTAAAAATGAATGGATTGAAGATAGGTAGTAGGTATACAGGTAGCAAAATTAGGGATTAAACGAATTTGGATGTGCCTTAAAGTCTCCCTTTAGGGTCGGCTTCACTACGTAGTGGCAAAAATTGAATTAAAAGAGTCGACTTTACAGAGTCTATGAAATAATAGTAGTTGAGTTTTTCGGGCGATTACGAGAAGTTTGGCAACTCCTAGAAGTTCGAAAATACACTATTCTCCGTGTTTATTACATTATTTTTTTAATCAAATATGCTTATAGGTAATAAAAAATCTGGGTATTATACGCCGACACTCGAACGGCGGATATAACTATTGAAATGTTATAAAGAGTTTCTAGACACTTTTGAAACACACTATACATAACAATTTTGGGTCCGCTAACACTTTACCTAACAAATTTACCTTAAAATCCAAAATCCTTAAAATTTGTTGTCGGGTTTCCATCATAAAACAAATGTAAAATAAACCATTTTCGCTGATTTCTTGTTGTAGAAACGGCTAAATATCAATATAAGACCATTCATAGAGCAATAAACCGTACCAAATTTTTTCATAAACGATCAAATTTTCTTATTTTTCATTTTAAGTTTATTAGAGAAATAAATAAACACTACATTATTTTTAATGACAATTGATGTCTCTAGTTTCTATAAATGCGGTGTTGCCAAATCGAGTAAGAAAACATATAAGTCAGGAAATAATTCGGTTAGTGAAAGTTGGCTGAAAAATTACATAGTGTCTGGCCAGCAGGTAAATTTGGATCTCGAAGTGAAAACATTTGTAGTAATCACAGACAACCGTCTTTTTATTTCATTTCAAGATGATTGTACGTTAATTACGGCATGTCGGTACTTATCTAATATTTAAAAAATAAATTCAATTTGAGCTGTGTCCAGGCCGTTGGAGTTTATGCCGGTCGGCGTAGCCAGGTATGGTTTAAAAATTTTCTGGTGGCGGCGAAGCCGCCACCTTACAAGAAGTCGTTCCTTCATTTTCTTATTGTATATTTTCTTATTATTAGATGCTCACGATACAAGACACGTTCGTTAAAAGTTGGGATCGAGGTTCACTGACCAGACGCTAATGAGGGTTGGTTAGGTTAGGTTAGTTTTTTGTTCAATTTGAGCTGTGTCCAGGCCGTTGGAGTTTATACCGGTCGGCGTAGCCAGGTATGGTTTAAAAATTTTCTGGTGGCGGCGAAGCCGCCACCTTACAAGAAGTCGTTCCTTCATTTTCTTATTGTATATTTTCTTATTATTAGATGCCCACGATACAAGACACGTTCGTTAAAAGTTGGGATTGAGGTTCACTTGCCAGACGCTAATGAGGGTTGGTTATGTTAGGTTTTTTTTTTCAATTTGAGCTGTGTCCAGGCCGTTGGAGTTTATGCCGGTGAGCGTAGCCAGGTATGGTTTAAAAATTTTCTGGTGACGGCGAAGCCGCCACCTTACAAGAAGTCGTTCCTTCATTTTCTTATTGTATATTTTCTTATTATTAGATGCTCACGATACAAGACACGTTCGTTAAAAGTTGGGATCGAGGTTCACTAGCCAGACGCTAATGAGGGTTGGTTAGGTTAGGTTTTTTCAATTTGAGCTGTGTCCAGGCCGTTGGAGTCTATGCCGGTCGGCGAAGCCAGGTATGAGTTAAAATTTTTTGGTAGCACCACCCTACAAGAAGTTGTTGCTTCATCTTCTTATTGTATATTGTTAGTTTAGGTTAGGTCGTCGAAGAGTACTCTGCCGATGAGGGTAAGGAAGAAGATCTTAATATAGATATTTTTTAAATCGTTAGTTTTATATAATTTTTCTGATACTGAAGTAAATTGGTTGGCCTGGTACAACGCAGGGCATAGGTAAAAATTACCATTGCTATGTAATAGATAATTGATATGGCAACATTGTATTTCTTTTAGACATATGTCACACTGCAAATCTTAATTGTCATAGTCTTTACGAAAATAAAAAAATTCCGACGAACCTAAACATGAGTTTAAATTAAAAAAATAAACTGTTTACGAAAAAATTTGGATGGTTTATTGCATTATGGATGGTCTAGTGTTATTATTTAGCAGTTTCTATAACAAGAAATTAATCAAAATGATGTAGTTTAAATTTTTTCAACATCGAAATTGGAGGACACATTTTAATAGTTTTAAGGTTAGAAAAAAATATTTTATAGCGTTTGCAGGGCAAAAAAAGTATTTTGAAATGTGTTTTAGAAGGTCTAAAATTGTTTAAAAAAAAATTAAAAAAATAGCCCGTTCGACTGTTGGCGGATTTTTCCACATGTGTCCAACACATGACTTTCCTATCAAGTTATTATAGGCTTTTTCAGGTTATTTTGTTCAACCTATTGCAACACCTCCATAAATGTTTCGAGGATAAACTAAATACATACATTTTCCACATACATCTACCTCGAAACATTTTTCCATAGATATTCATTGAAAACGAAAATACTGAAAAATTTTAATATAGCACTTTTCCTACAATTTTTCCATTACGGTCCATTTTAGAAAAATCATGTTTAAACAAAAATTATAAAGATCGATATCGCAAACAATTTTTAGTTCAACAATTTTCTTAAAAATCAGAATTTTGCACATTTTGTCAAATTTCTCGAATACGGACCATTTTAGGAAAATTATTATCTATAATTTTTGTTCTATACAAAACTTTCCTAAAATGGTCCGTATTCGAGAATTTTAATAAAATGTAAAAAAAAAATTTATAAAAATTGTTTAAATAAAAGTTGTTTGTAATATAATTTTCTATAATTTTTATTCTTTACATAATTTCTCTAAAATGGACCGTATTCGAGATATTTGAGAAAATGTGTAAAATTTGAAATTTGACGAAAACTCAAAAACGGATAAAGAAAAAAACATTAAATTTTAAACTTAAGTTTTATTTCGGCCTGACGTGAAATTATTAGATTTTGGACAAAGTCGGAACATCTGGGGGGGGGGTACTTTATGGGAGGCCGTTTTTATATTTTATGGAATATATCTGTTATTTATGGTTGGAGAAAAAATTGTTTAAATAAAAGTTACTTGTAATATTATTATCTATAATTTTTGTTTTTTGTAAAAATTTCCTGAAATGGTCCGTATTCGAGAAATTTGACAAAATGTGCAAAATTCTGATTTTTATGAAAATTGTTGAACTAAAAGTTGTTTGCGATACCGATCTCTATAATTTTTGTTTATACATGATTTTTCTAAAATGGACCGTAATGGAAAAATTGTAGGAAAAGTGCTAAATTAAAATTTTTCAGTATTTTCGTTTTCAATGAATATTTAGAGAAAAATTTACCAATAAATTTGAAAACGCCTGAAGATGACCAAAACCAGCAAAGACATTTAGAAGAAAAAGAAGCTGTTAAAAGAATATTTTTAGAGGAACAAGATCTTGCATCTAATGACAAATCTGTACTTGTTGCCACACGGGGATTCGATGACAATAGGCTTTTCAAGGAAATATGCAGTTTATAACTTTACAATTTATGAAACAGCTTCGAGGGATGGCCATTGTTTCCTTTGGGGAGAAAAGGATGCGAAGAGGGGCAGCAATAAAATTTGTAGCAATTTATTAAGATACCTGACTGAAGTATACCAAGAAGGTCAATATTCAAAAGTATTTTTTTACTGTGATAATTGTACGGGACAAAATAAAAATCCCTATATGTTAAGATATTTCTTAGACAAATCAATAAATATAAATGAAATTGTTTTAACATTTTTAATTGTGGGTCACCCGTATATGCCTGTCGATTGAAAAATATATCAAAAATAAAATTGTAGAAGCACGTCTGAGTGGCTCACAATTTTAAGAAATGCGGCCTTATATGGTAAATAAAATTACTTTTTCGGATTTTTTTTTATTTTAGATCTATCGCATCAGAAACTAGTAAAATAAAAATTTCAAATATTAAAAGAGCTAAATTTTTTAAAAACGATTTTAATGTTAAATATCAAAATTCCTTCATTAACGAAAAAATTGAGACTTTATTTTCAAATTAAACCTGATATGGAACTTAAAACTCTATCAGGATGAGCAGCCTATAAATCAGAAATAGTTTAAAAATTTGCAAGATCTTGGCAAAAGATTTATAATTAAACCAGAATATCATTTTGAATATTTAAATTTAAAAGTTAATAGGACTGTTAGGGATGAGTTAGACGAGACTGATGAAGAAAACTTGATAGAATAGATAGATGTATAATGATAATTTAAAAAAATAAGAATTATCTATTTTTTTTAACTTGTTCTTTAATGCATTTTGTTGGATGTTTTGTTTTTATATTATATTTCAAAAAAATATTTAATTATTGAGTTTTAATTTCATCCCCTTTAATGGCACCAATACCATTGAATTTTAAAAATGAATAATTAGCAATTTGGCATATATCCAGATAAGCGACCTTTTTAATTTATTATAATTAATTCGACAAAGCACAAGCGCCATGACGTTTTTGGCATAAATACTTTTAAATTGTCACTAATTGGCATAAGCGACAAATTTACAGTTTTTTTTAATTTTGTATAAAAATTCTTCTAGAAATATCAAATAAAATGGCAAGAAAAATTAGAAAAAAAAATATAGGAAGAACAAGAATGAAATTGTTTCATTTAAAAATTACCTACTACAAAATAATTTATAAGATTAAGATTATAAGATTTTTTCTGTCTCCTGAAAAAAGATCATAGTGGCGTTTATGCCGTTTTGTCATGGACGCGACGATGTATTTTTAACCGACTTCAAAAAAGGAGGAGGTTCTCAATTCGTCGCGATATTTTTTTTATGTATGTTCAGCGATAATTCTTTAACACGGTGTCAGATTTCAATGATTCTTTTTTTGTTAGAAAGGGAGTACTTCAGGGGTAGTCTCATATAAATTTGGTCAAAATCTAATAATTGGTCCATGAGAAAAACCTCTTCATTTTTTATGTATATTTAGCGATAATGCTTTACCACC